ACACACACACACTAGTATTGGCATTAAACTGAGGACTTTGTATTGACTTCCATTCATTTTTGTAACTGTATTTATGCCTAACCCAAATGTTTTCCCTAAAATTAACCATTACTGGTCTATAGTTGACCCTAACATGAACCAAAACTTAACTCACACCATGCCTCTAAACCTAACAAGTACAGTAGAGCTGCAGACAAAGTGAGGACCAGGAGAAGGTCCTCACTTTCCAAAAATGACCTCATTTTGTTGATTAAAAATCTAACACGGTCCTCACTCTGTAGGAAAAACAAGTATACACACACACACACACACACAACACACACACACACAAGCCAACTTTACAGAGAAAACATCCTGATTTAAAACATCCTCCATAAGACCAGTCCCAGATTTTACTCAAAACTGAGCCAAAGTTTAAACTGGTTCTTTCAGTTTCCTCGGGACCAAAACAACTTAATACAGACATTGACACCCAGGACCTGAAGAAATTAGCCTGATTTTTTTTTTATTTCCCTGTGTTTTTTTTTTTAAATCATTCAATATTACGATGCAGCATATTTTCACATTTAGATTTTAATGAAAAGTCAAATAAACGAAGCTAAAGTTAGCTTGTTTTCATTCATTAATTCCAGATTAAAGCATGTCAGCAGAAGTGAGACTTTAGTCATTTATTAATAAGATATTTTTACTAAAAGTAATAAAGCTTCCTTTTTTCTGTGTAGTTTATTTTACAAAAGAAAGAGCAGTTCATGAAGTTCTTTATTCCACCAAGACTAGACTCTTATTTACACYATTTGCATGAATACTGAGCAAATTAATAAAGAATTAAAGGTTTGTTTTCACTTTTTGTAGTTTTGTTTAAAAATTGTAAATATAGTTCTAGATATTATGGATTTTCACCAGGTCATGACTAAACTGAAGTTCTTCACAGACTAAAGTTTTAAAGTGTTCTGTTATAAACTGTGTTCAGTGTTAAATGTTGAGTTTTCCCAACATGAGACGGGKAGCTGCACTGGTCAAAGATCCATTCAGATTAAATAAGGGTCCAGCTCCACACCAATAACTGACACTGCTATTGTTGCTCTACAAACAGGAAACATCTTCGTTTCACAAGCTACAAATCTGTCCTAGKACAAGTTGGTCCTACGAAACAAACCTGAATGGAGGGAGGGACAGAAACAGACCAGGCAGGCTGAACTCCCCACCACCAGAACAGGAGAAACTTGAATGTTTTCAAATAATTTWAAAAAAACATGAATTAACAAATCAGGTTCACCAGGATCCTACTTCTGCTACATTTGGGACGTGGTGTGAACAGAACACAATGATCCACAAATCTTACACCAGTTTGTTTAACAATAAAAACATTTTAAAAATTATAATAAAAAAAAAACACTGTAAAATATGGCAGGAACACCTCTCTGAAGTTGTTCACATTTCCCCTTTAACAATCTGTAAACATCCAGGACCCGAGGAGACCAGGTCTGGAGGTAATGGTGTCCCATTCTGGTCTGCAGGATCCTGGGTGTTCGACAGACCAGGCTCCTCTTTGCTGGATAGTCCAGCAGGTGTTCTAGAACCTGCACAGTCCCCAGCCTTCAAGTGGACTGGGTCAAAGACCCCTAACTACCCTCAGGAGGGAATTCTCCGGTTCATAAGAAACTCTTCCGTTTCAGAACTTGGAAGGCTGAATTTTTAAATCTGAATTGGGAAAACTCCTTGGATGAAAAGTGAAATGTCGTCATTGTTTGGTTCCTGTGGACCAGACTTWCTGGATCCTCCACAGACATCCTGATGAGAACTGACCTGACCTTTCTTGTTAAATCAAATCACAATATAAAGTTCAGCTTCTATCATCATCTGCGCTCCTCACATTATCAACGTCTGAAGAGCTCTTTGCAAGTCAAATTGGTCTAAATGACAAAAAGACTTAAATCCTTGTTGGAGGCAAAACATCCAAAACAGAAACGATGATTTTTGTAATGTTTATTTTAAAACAAACATTTCAAACATATTAGGATTAAAGCTGTGTTCRTCCTGTACTTGGACGTTCAGCTGCAGGAACGTCAGAATTCCTTGGAAAGGCTCCGGATGACAAAGTGCCACTGCAGCAAAAGCCAAAGGTTCCCAGCTGGGCGCGGGCCAGTCGACACTTCCTGTTTAAGGTTTCTCATCACGCAGAGGCAGCGCTGCCAGTGACTCAGGGGTTTCCCATCACTGAACGGGACCTTCGCTCCGGTCTGCACCCCCACGAGTCCCTCTAACAGAACCGTAGTGGATCAGCCCGTCTGCTTTCGTTCTGCTGTCTTAAACTGATCTGCAGCAGGAAATATGCAAATGGGTTTTGATTCATCTCCTGCTTTTCCTCAAAGGTAATCAAATCGTGGCAGTATGATGGAAAGCAGAAGGGTTCAGCTCCTCTGGAGTCAGCTGTGTTTGAGGGGTGGGGGTTTGATGTTAATCAGGCTGGTTACAGATTACACTGAGACACTGAGGTTGGCCTAATCATTGCTTCAACAACAAAAACACAACATGTGCAAAACTGAAACAGCAGAAAAATAAAGAAACTGAGGCGATGATTAAAGTTATTTATCAGTGGTGAACTTATTTTTACAGTAAAACTGATCAAAAACATCATCGCTGCAGTCATATTTTTATTTATAAGTTTTCAGTTTTTTTATGTGATGACTACATACAGTTTCTCCCTCCGTCTGTTACTGAGCCAAAATCCCCTCGACTTCCTGGTTCATTAAATAAAGATGGCTGCAGTCTGTTTGGAGGAGGTTTCCTGGAGCAATAGGCCACCAGTCTCTGGAGAGGTGACACCGCCACGCTTTAGTTTAAAGCAACCGTTTTAAAACTAAAAGCACAACAACCTAGCAGAGTTAGCATGGTAACCTGGTCAAAATCTCAAAACCTCAACAAAAGATAAAATCTTCTGTTGGGGTCGACACCCCCTGACGACATCATTTGCATATTTGTTCAATGAAGTGTCATGTAAATTGAAGAGCTAATCAATACAAATTTGCTGATATCTTTTTTTAACTTTGCTATAAACCAACCAAATTTTATGGCATCTAAGCTTCCTGTGCCCTGAACTCTGATGGTCACAGACTACCTAGGAAAGATCATTTTTCAAGCTGAGGCTTTAAAATGAAATATTTTTATCCTTTTAAATAAAATGTGTGAATTACCAGTCATAGCCTGAGGTCCAGACTGGTCCAGATATATGTAAATAAAAAGTTTTTGTGCCACTAGAAAGTTGAAAGCCCCTCTATCAAACTACAATGGTCCGGTCTGGAAGCTGCAGGGGGCAGGGTGTGGAGCACCTCGTTTGGCTGTAAAGAGACAGCCAAAATACGAGTTGATCTGAGACGTATCTCAGGAAGGGGGCGGGGCTTGTGGAGTTCCACTTTATATAAACCCCAACTAAATGACTTAAAGGCACAGTGTGTAGGATTTTGTCAATTCTTTTAGCCGAAATTGAGATAATCACTAATGACAATAATAAAAAACATGTCTAATCATTGCAGACAAAGACCTTGTTTTATTATTTTTACCTTATAAAAACCTGTTTATATCTCCATGGTTGCGGGTCACCACTACAGGCAGCCGCCATCTTGCACCGCCATATTGTCTACGAAGGCTCATGAAGGACAAACTGCGGTGGCGGCGTCAAAAACGGTTTTAGTTGTAATACTATAAATGTAATATTTGTTGTCTGTCATTGTAGCTGGGATAATTTTACTTATTAAAGCTCATAATCTTACCACTTGAAACATCACTAGCCCTGAAGCTGCTGGTAGACATCGCGGTTGGAATTATCAAAGGTTTTTGACACCTGAGAGACACCGTAGCAACTCATTTGTGTTTGGAAGCGGGGGGTGGGGCTGGGGGGAGGACCAGGGAGGATGATTCAACCACTCAACCACTAGATGTAGCTGAAAACAACAAATCCTACACGCTGTGCCTTTCAACGTAAAAAAGGATTTAAAAACATATGTCCACTTGGTGCAACAATACATGTACCCATATCAAACCGTATCGAACAGTGCTGTATCAAACAATACAGATTTTAAAAATTTATTTATCAACTTGTCCTCTGAAGATGCTCTGTGTTAAAGGATCAGTGGATCTGTGTTCGACTACTCCACCTAGGCTGCATTTTTGAGCGCAGGCCAAGTTAAAAGGGGCATGGAAATTTGTCTTTTTTGCATCGAAAAAATATCGAACCGTGAGACTAAAGTATCGAACCGAACTGTGAATTTCCTGTATCGTTGCACCCCTAATAAATATATATAAACATTTAAATAGTTTAATGTCTGTGTTATGTTTTCACAACATCTCATTTTCTTTGTAGCACTTTGGCCAACTACTATTTTAAATGTGTTCTTACAACAAACTCAGAAAATATTGTGACAATTTTTTAGGTCCATATCAACCATCCTTACAAAATAAATCTATGTAACTTAAACGTTTATCACAGAACTCCAATTTAAATGAGCCTAAATCTCTCTTTAAATAGGATTCAGGTTGGTCAATAGAGAATTTTTTTTCCTCCTAGTTTCACTCATTTCAAATAGCAAAAAACACTGAACACAATAATTAACTCTTACACTTTAATCCAAACAAGTTCATCACATGATTTCTGTAGTTTGTGCAGAAAAACTCTTGGCAAATAAAACAAAATTAATGTTCTGAGTTGCTTAGTGACCTGTGAGCACAGCATCATAACTACAGATATAGTTGTCCAAATGTCCGATAACTCTCTGTAAAACTGAGGACAGAATGAATGTGTCTAATATATTTGAKGACGAAGTTACGCAGGACCTTTCCTGATCTCTTGCTGAGCATCTAAAGCTTCATGAAGGGGTTCTGTTAGYAGCTTCACTCTGGTTTGTGCTGGAAACACCTGAAGCTACAGCAACTGGATCATCAAGAAACTGAATCAGAACCAGCAGAGACCGACAGAAACGGTTTCAGCACACGGGTGGTCTTACCTCGRGCAGAGAGCTTCTTGGTGTTGATTATTTTAGCAGCGTACTCCTGGCCTGTGGAGATCTTCATGCACCTCCTCACCACAGAGAAGGCTCCCCTGAAGGACACGGAGACAGAAGCCGTAAACTCCTTGTTGTGCAGGTCTGAACCGAGTCACAAGGTTCAACAATCTGCTGCAATAAACAATTCAGCTCACTGTGTGAGGAGACAAGAGTAAACTACAATCCCCTCTGACTCACTCAAACTTTCAAAAACTAGCTCTACGGCAGGCAATTTTCACATAAAATCAGCTTCATCTGTAATTACACTCCAGATATCTGAAACTAAGTTTTGACCAGTTACATCTACTTGTGGACCACCCTGAAAGGTAATTGGAAGATATCTGTAAATTTACATTCTGACATGTCAGAAAGACAATTCAAGATCACTGAAAAAGAATTGGCGAGTCAAAATGTAACTCAACACCTGATTCATCATTTTAAAAAGGGTTAAACATTTGTAATTACAATTCAAAATATCTTAAAAATTTTCATTTTAGATATCAGAATTAGGAAATTGTACCTAAAATTAAATCACGATTAATTGTGGTATTTAGCCAATTAATTTGACGATTAATCCCCTGGAGTCCCTGGACAACCTTATGTTCTAGTCGCATGACCAATTCAGTGGTAAAGATTTGCTCTTTGCAAATTGTGTCAAAATTACAGACTTCAGGCTATACATCAAATTTTAAATTATGTTGATAGATAAATAAATTACAGAACTTTTTTTAATGTGTGTCGTATCTGAAGCTGAGAGGAGCACCAAGCAGACTCTACCTACAGTGGCATTTATCGTATTTATCGTCAAGTGCCCAAAAATAATCGATTAATTAGTTGCACAAGACACGATTATGCCCAACCAAGTACATTTAAGATATCTTGAATAATGTCATTTAAATTGTATATCCTTAATTCGACTTAAGACTAGGGGTGTAAGAAAATATCGATACACTGAAATATCGCGATATTTCATTTCCCGATACTGTATCGATATTCTAAAGCCCTGTATCGATTTTTTATTAAGGTTTAAAATGTCAACTTTCCTGCCAGCCATTCATTTTTATGTTATAGTTCAGCCTCTGACCACTAGTTGGCAGCAGTAACCACTTGGCTCCTCCACAGCTTGAGTGCCAGAGAGTAAGAGAGCATTAGCATTGTGAGTAAACATTAGCTTCATGCTCCGAT